ATTCCTAATTGTGTTGATCTGCAGTTTACCCTCTCTAAGGTACTTTCTTGCGATATCCACTCTGTGAGATCTAGAATTCTCTTTTGAGGAGATCTATCTATATGCTAGAGCCAAGATCTATGTTCTTGATGTTATTCTGATCCTCTAGTTATTCTAGAGAAGACCTACTGTAAACCTGTTATCATTATTATTGATAGTGGAAGTTTGAGGTGGACTACGGTCCCGTGGTTTTTCCCACATTGGGTTTTCCACGTTAAAAGGATTTGGTCTCCCTGTGTGATTGGTTTTTTACTCTATTGTTTATGCTGTGCTGGTTGATATTTTCATTTGGATATCAAGTTGGTATTTTGATGAGGAACTCATTTTGATACACAAAGAGGAAAAAAATATTCCGCTTTAACAGGTTTTTCCCAACATATACTTCATGTCACTTGCATATTTATCTTGATGTAACTTTTAGCACATTATGCTTCCATCATGCAGTAATAGATTTTGTCCTTTTATGCACAATCTGTTATAATTTATTTCAGTTTTATGGTGGCGTATATGGCATTGGCAAATCATTCCTGATGCAGCGTATAGTTAACTTTTTTTACTGTAGCTAATATAATACGTCCCAAAAATTTGTTATTTTCTTTCTGTTTATATTGGTGCTCCTGAGGGGTTCTCTGGATTTTAAGCTTTCTGACTTTGGTGGTTATAATCGAGCATCAAAGAAGAGCCTTTTGGAACTCAAGTTTTGCATGAATGTCTCTGTAAGGAAAAACATTTAAATCCCTAGTAAGTACTATTTTCATTATGGTAGAAATTCTGCTGTATCTTCTTGTGATGCACATGTACTAGTGGAGCAAATGCATGACTTCTTATTCTTTATGCAAATAGTACTGGATGGAGCAAACCAATTATACTGCTGAAAATTCCAAAGTAAATGTCATAAAAATGTTGATGGCTTTTCCTGAACAAATCTATGCAAGTATTTCTTCCATCTAGTGGTGCTCTTCTATTCCACATACATTAGCATTCCATTTTTCTGCTTTATATCTGACCATCACCCCTTTTAACTCTAGAGACTGGCAATGAGACATAACATTTGAGTTATGGTGAAGATGGTGGTTAATAAGTGTCTTATGTCTGTGTAAATTCACAAGATATCCTCTAGTAAGTTTCTAAACTAGCCTCTGGAATCGCTTTAATATGTTGGAAGATACCGATATTGTATTACTTCTGTATAATTTGTAATTAGTCTTTATACTAGTTGATGGAGGAGATATTTCTGGGTGAAAATCTCCTTAACTTTCCGGAGCAAACCAATTATGTTTGTAAGTTCTCAAGTAAACATCGCACAGAAAGTCTTTGCACGTTGATGGCTCTTCCTTAGAATTTAGCCTTTGTAGGGAGTTCCTCCATTTTGAGGTGGTCTCATATTCCATCGCTTAGAGGAGCAGCATCGCTGCCATTACCTCTTGGGACTGGCCATGAGACATACATCTAACTTTTGATTTAATGTGAAAATGGTATTTAATAAGTGTATTGCATTTGAATAATTCACAAGTTGTTATCTCATAATTAGTCTTCATACTAGTTGATGGAGGAGATTTTTCTAGGTGAAAATCTCCTAAATTTTCTCGGAGCAAACCAATTATGTTTATAGATTCTCAAGTAAACGACACAAAATGTCTTTGGATGTTGATAGCTCTTCCTGATAAATTAGCCTTTGTAAGGGAGTTTGTAGGGAGTTCCTCCATTTTGAGGCGATCTCATATTCCATAGCCTAGAGGAGTAGCATCACTGCCATTACCTCTTGGGACTGGCCATGAGACATAAATATAAACTTTATTTAAAGTGAGAATGGTATTTAATGTGTATTAAATTTTATTTAAGGTGACATCTGCATAATTTACAGGTTGCTATCTTGTAGTTTGTCTTTATATTTGTTGATGAAGCAGACTCTTTTGGGTGAAAATCCCCTTAACTTTCTTGGTGCAAACTAATTATATTGGTAAATGCTCAAGAAGATGTCACATGGAAAGTCTTTGGATGTTGATGGCTCTTCCTGAAAAGTTAACCTTTGCAAGGAGTTCCTCCATTTTAAGGTAGTCTCATATTCCATTGCCTAAAGGAGTAGCGCATTGGGCGGGTCAGGTGCTCGCCTAGTTCAACTCAAGCTAGGTCAAGCTTTTAACTCGAACCAAACCACTATTTGGTTCGATTGAATGAGGTAATATGACGCTCCAACATCTAAAATGCTCTTGCACGAGCCGTGCCCTAAACGTAAAAATGTGTCTTTCCCTCTGTCTTTACACGACGACGGACTTCCTCCCATCGGCGAACGATGGCAGCAGCTGCAGTGGCAATGTCTCTCCGGTGGCAGTGGCAACATCTTCCTCTAGTGGCAATGACAATGGCGACGTCTTCCTCCGACTGCGGCAGTGACGTCTTCCTTCGACGGTAGCGGCGGTGGCTTCTACCCCTCCTGGTATATCTCTCTCTTTCTCCTCCCTTCTCCCTCCTCCTACCTCTGCCCCCGTTCACTATAGGCCCTTGCCCCCCCCTCCCCTGATCCCTCTTCCCTTGTTGCTACAGCTCACCCCCTTCCTCGGATCATAACCTTCTTCTCTCTTCCCTCTTCCCTTGTTGCTGCACCTCTTCTCTTGTTGTCGCATTTCCCCTCTCCCCTCTTCCCTCTTCCCTTGCTGTTGCAGCTCTCCCTATCCAACAATCACCCTTGTTGTTGCAGCTCCCCTTATCCAACAGTGGTCGCTCCCCTATCCAACAGTCACTGCTAGCATCTTTTCAGTCATCGGCAGCCATCCTCCTCCTATGCTAATATTTTTATTAATATAACATGTAAATTTTGTATTTGTTAGTATTTGTAAATGGATTGTTGCTGCAACTTTAGAATCATGATATATAATTTATTTTTGTTGGTGTTAGTATTTATTTTAGTTTTAGTTTATTTTTATTAATTATGATATATAATTTTTAAATTATAATGTTCTGGAGGGT